GTCTTTCTCTCTCTCTCTCTCTCTCTCTATCATCACTATATATGGGTCTCGGTCTTTTACTCCTCTCCTCTTCCTCCTCTTCTCCCTTACTTCTTTGTCTTCCACTATTTTCTTTTGCTTTGTCTCTCATCTTTTCTGTTCTACTCGCTTCTTTCTCCTTCTTCTCCTTTCCTCTTAATTTTTTCTCTTTTCTCCCCTTCTTTTTCTTCTTCTCTCCTTCCTTTTCTTCCCCTCCTTTTCTCCTTACTTCATCTTTCCTCCTCCTCGTTTCCTTTATTTCTTTCTCTCTCTCCTCCTTTCTCTTTTCTTACTTCTTTCCCTTCTCTCCTTTCTCTTTTCCTCCTCTACTCCTTCCTTCCTTCAGGAGGTCGACCTTGACATATGAGTGGTAATCTTGATAGTATGTATGTATGTATGTATGTATGTATGTATGTATGTATGTGTGTGTGTGTGTGTGTATGTATGTCAACAGAGAGAGAAGTTATGGCTATTGAAGGGAAGATAAAGCTATATTTTTCAGAGGCTGTGAATGGTCGCTCGCTGTAATGTTATTATTCCGGGTTGGCTGGCAGTTACGGGCCGCTGATTGGCTGATTAGGGCTTCATTTGTGGCCACTCAGGACGACGGACGAGAGGGTACAAATCCCTAACTTTTTTCATCCCAAGTTTTGATAATAGTGTCTAGGGTGACCAACTCACGGGGGGTAGTACCAGGTGTTCGGGGTCATCATTATTGTCTCTAGGTTCACACTAACATAACATTATGCCTAAAAATAATGAGAATGTTGATGTAATTTATTTCTTTAGGAAGTGTGACGTAGAAGAAGTTATTATTGTAGTTATCTCAGCGTGTGTGTACAATTTATGACTGTGTTGTTAAATTTATAAACGCGTATTTTTTGTGGTATATTAGACGTTAAAAAAATAATAAGATAATAAGCAATCATTTTTGTCATTATTTCTTCTGATGAGACTCGCGATTTATTAACTACGAATTATTTATTTTCTGATTATTGTAAATTATATGTAATTATGTGATTTATTATTGTAAAAAAAAATGTCATAGTCTGAATATTATAAAAACAAACATATCGTGAAATTAACAAAACAATGTCATACACACGATGGTCTGAAGAAATGACAAACATCTCTGGGGGGCGGTCCTGTTGTCTCGGTAGGGTTGTCAAAATCCTTCGTCCGTTGTGTCATATTTTTTCAACATAATTTTGTAAAGAATTATTTTTTAATTACTGTATATATTGAACTGTGTGTAGGGGACCTCGTTATTAACTTCCAATGATTTGTTTTATTTCGTAAAGTGAATATCGTTTCTTGTGACCTTAGTAGACTATTTCCAGGTAGCCCTTCACTAACGGGGACCCCATTTTGAATATTTTATTTGGCTAATGCTAGACGGTTTTATTTACCTCGAGGGAGTCCTGTACACTGCTGTAGCGACACCCTGAAACTCATGATACTTGTATTTATTGTTATTAAGAAATGACACTGCTTAGTTATATTATTATTATTATATATATTATTATATATTATATATTATTATTGTTATTATTATTATTATTGTTATTAATATTATTATATATTATTATTATTATTATTATTATTATTATTATTATATATTATTATTATTATTGTTTGTTATTATTATTATTATTGTTATTATTATTGTTATTGTTGTTATTGTTGTTGTTGTTGTTGTTGTTGTTGTTGTTGTTGTGCACATGTCACAGGTAGTCAGCATCGTTGCCTGCCTCCGTCCTACACCGTTTGCTCGCTGCTAAAACTGTCTTCTGTCATGTCACGGCGGCGTTGTTCACTGTCATGCCTCACAGAATGTTTTTGGCTGTTCAGTCGTCGTTGGGAAGATGGCATATGGGATCCAGGCTTCGATCCCCACCCAGTACTAGACCTTTCCGGATAACACTTGTAGTTATCATTCTGGTCTTGTCTGGGGAAACACTATTAAACACTAATTAACCATCAAATACTTTTAGTAATATTTTAGTAACACAAACACCAAACTATTTTTCCTCACAAACTTTCGTAGACTTTTCCAAACTCGCTCATCAATAATTTGTTCTATATATAACCTACAATCTCTCCTAGGCATCAACGTCACTAAAATATCTTAAAAAAATACGTATGTAAAAAAAAATACCTAAGATTTTTTCTCCGAATTCGCCGGTATCTCCCGTGTTCACCCTCCTACCTGGCCACGCCTCTCATCACCTCTACAGTACACTCGTCTTCAGGTAACGTTTTCTCCTTGTCTTCTTCGTATGCTATCTGTACCTTGATAGAATCGCACACTTATTATGTACGATTGGATCTTGTTTCTCTTATATTTTCTCACGCTTATACCCTTATCCAGTCCATTATTATGTACGATTGGATCTTGTTTCTCTATATTTTCTCACCTTTCATCGTTCATTTACATTGATCTTGTTTCTCTTATATTTTCTCACGCTTATACCCTTATCCATTCCATTATTATGTACGATTGGATCTTGTTTCTCTTATATTTTCTCACGCTTATACCCTTATCCAGTCCATTATTATGTACGATTGGATCTTGTTTCTCTTATAGTTCCTCACTTTTTTGTCTTTAATTCAGATCCTTATTATGTACGATTGGGTCTTCATTCTCTTATAGTTCTCACGTTTATACTCTTATCCAATCCCTTAATATGTACGATTGGATCTGCTTTCTATTATAGTTCTTCGTTTTTATGCTCTTTGTTTGATCGTCGTTTGTTTCTTTGGGTAAATTTATGGTCAGTATGTTGTTGAAGTTGTGTTGTGGTTGTAATTCAGGACAGATGACTCTCCTCCTCACTCCTCCATACCACACTGTCTGATATACAACTTATAAACACTTTTTTCCTTATCCTCTTTCACTTTTTACACTTATCTTATCTACTTTCAACACTTATAACACTGTAGGATATCAGGTGTGTGTCAGTGAGATTTTGTTCACCATCATCATCATCATCATCATCATCATCACCATCATCATCATTACCAACACAAACATATTGGGAGGTATTTTGCATTAAGAGAACAGACTGGTCAGCTGGTCCCTGTGGCGACCATCTGCAGCTGGTGACGACATTAGACAGATGGTGATGAAGAGGGCTGGCGTGTCCCTCGTCCTGGGGAGCCACAACAGATGGTGATGAAGAGGGCTGGCGTGTCCCTCGTCCTGGGGAGCCACAACAGATGGTGATGAAGAGGTGGCGTGTCCTCGTCCTGGGGAGCCACAACAGATGGTGATGAAGAGGGCTGGCGTGTCCTCGTCCTGGGGAGCCACAACAGATGGTGATGAAGAGGGGCTGGCGTGTCCCTCGTCCTGGGGAGCCACAACAGATGGTGATGAAGAGGGCTGGCGTGTCCTCGTCCTGGGAACCACAACAGATGGTGATGAAGAGGGCTGGCGTGTCCCTCGTCCTGGGGAGCCACAACAGATGGTGATGAAGAGGCTGGCGTGTCCCTCGTCCTGAAACCCTCAAGATGGTGATGACTGTGTGATAAAGCCAGCTGATTCTGTTATTCCTCCCCCCCTCCTTCCTTACCCCCTCTCCCCTCCCTCCCCCTCCTTCCTTCCCCTCTCCCTCCTCCCCCTCCTTCTCACCACTCTCCCTCCTCCCCCTCCCCCCTCCTTCCCTCTCCCTTCCCCTCCCCTCCTTCCTTACCCCTCTCCCTTCCCCCCCCCTCCTTCCTTACCCCTCTCCCTCCTCCCCTCCTTCCCCTCACCCCTCTCCCCTCTTCCCCTCCTTCCTCACCCCTCCTCCTCCCCTCCTTCCTCACCCCTCTCCCTTCCCCTCCCCTCCTTCCTCACCCCTCTCCTCCTCCCCCTCCTTCCTCACCCCTCTCCCTCTTCCCCCTCCTTCCTCACCCCTCTCTCCCCTCCTCCCCCCTCCTTCCTTACCCATCTCCCTCCCCCCTCTTTCCTTACCCCTTCTCCCTCCCTTTTTCCTTTCTCACCCCTCTCCCTTCTCTCCCCCTCCTTCCTCACCCCTCTCTCCTCCCCTCCTTCCTCACCCCTCTCCCTCCTCCTCCTCCTTCCTCACCCCTCTCCCCTCCTCCCCTACTTCCTCACCCCTCTCCCTCCTCCCCCCTCCTTCCTCCCACCCCTCTCCCTCCCTCCCCTCCTTCCTCACCCCTCTCTCCCTTCCCCTTCCCCAACCTCCTCCTTTCCTCCCTTCGTTTCCGTCCTCCTCCCTCCCCATCTTCACCCACCTCCAACCTCCTCCCCTTCTTTCTCCTCTCGTCTTTCCCCATTTTATTCCGGCCTTTCCTTTACCCTCCTAGTTATTCCTTCTTCCTCCTACTTCCCTGCCCCCCTCATTCTTTTCACACCTTCTATATCCATCTTTCCTTTCCCCGTACCCATCCCCTCCTCCCACTTTCCTTTCTTCTCCTCCCTTTTCCTCCCTCATTCCTTCCTCACCCCACCCTTCCTCCTTCCTCATCCTGTAACCTCGTCCCTTCCCTCCCCTCCCTCACCCCTATCCTTCATCACCCCTACCCCTCCTCCCTCCCTCCCCGGACGTATTGTGGCAGACTCATACTCAATATATTGGTGATGAGCGTCAAGGGTAATGGTTGTCAAGACGGAGGCGAGGCAGGGTGGTCCTTCCTTCTTGTTGGACCTCCACTGCATCCACCAACTGAGGGCGAGAAGGGCGGTGAAGGAGGAGGACTCGTATATGAGGAGAATTTTATGTATGTGTGTATGTATACTTTACTACGTACGCATAGTTTAGTGTATGGATACACTCACGTATACATTAGTGTATAGGTGTATGTACGTATAATAAACCCTGTAGGTAACTGTGTCCATGACTGCAGAGACTACATTCAGGGGTGACAGTGTTGCCAACATCACATAGACTAAGACATCAGGTGTGACAGTGTTGCCAACATCACATAGACTAAGACTTTGGTGAGATAGTGTTAACATTCTTCTCTTTCCTTGGCAGACGTGGCGGCAGCGGAGGCAGTGAGGGAACGACAGACGAGGGTAAAAGCGACGACAACGACGATGACGACCAGGACCACCTCCACGACCACCACCACCCCGCGCTGAAGACCCACCACCACCAGACCAGGTCAGTGCTGCCACCCGTGTTAGAGATGTCGTGATTGTTACGAAAAAATTTTACCTGTTAGAAAATTTTTATTTGTGTGAGGAAACTTTAATCCGTGTTAGATATATTTGACCTGCGTTGGAAAACTTTACCTGTGTTAGATATTTACTTCTGTGTTAGAAAACTTTTCTTGATGGTGAGAACCTTCACTTGTGTTAGAAAACTCTATTTACCTGTGTTAGAAAACTCTATTTACCTGTGTTAGAAAATACTTGCATTAGAAACCTTATGAATGTTTTAGAATTTTTTTCCTGTTAGAAAACTTTTACCTGTGTTAGAAAACATTCACAGGCGTTAGAAATTTTTACCTATTTTAGAAACTTTTACCAGTGTTAAAAACTTTCCTGTGTTAGAAAACTTCCACAGGTGTTAGAAATTTTTACCTATTTTAGAAACTTTCACCAGTGTTAGAAAACTTTCATGTGTTAGAAAATCTTCAAATGTGCTATAAAACTTGAGTGTAAGAAAATTAATGTGTTAGAAAACTTTCTCCTATATTAGAAAACTCACCTGTGCTAAAATACTTTTACCTCATAGAAAGCTCTCACTTGTTAGAAAACTTGACCCTGTTTTAGAAAACTATAATCTACTAGAAAACGTTTATCTGTGTTAGAAAAGTTGTAGATGTGTTAGAAAACTTATGTCAGAAAAATACCAGTTTTACAAACCTATACCCATGTTAGAAACTTTTATCCTTGTTAGAAACTTTCACTTGTGATGGTAAATTTTACTGGTGTTCCAACCTGTTCTTGGTGGTAGAGACTTTCACTAGTGTTAGAAAATATTCATCAGTGTATTCAAATATTTGTTTGTGTTAAAAAGTTTCACATGAGTTCGAAAACTTTTAGTGGTTTAGAAAACTCTCGGACACACTAGAAAAACTTCATCTGTTAGAAAACTTTCAACCGCATAAGAAGATTTTTACTTGTGTTAGAAAACCATCACGTTTGTTTCAAATTTTTTTACCAGCGTTAAAACTTTCACCTGCAATAGAAAACATCCCTTAGTAAAGAACTTAAATATAGGTAAGGAAACTTTCACCTGCTTGTGTAATATGAATTAATGAAGTAAACTTTCACTTGCCTGACAATAAGTTAGCCTTAGGTAGAAGGATCTCACCTACGTCGTGAAATTTATCACCCACGAAGAAAAACGTTTACGTAGACAGAACAATTGTTTAGTATGTTAGAAAACTCTCACCTGTGTTAGAAAACTCTCACCTGTGTTAGAAAACTCTCACTTATGTTAGAAAACTCTCACCTGTGTTAGAAAACTCTCACCTGTGTTAGAAAACTCTCACCTGTGTTAGAAAACTCTCACCTTGTTAGAAAACTCTCACCTGTAGTAGAAAACTCTCACCTGTGTTAGGAAACTCTCACCTATGTTAGAAAACTCTCACCTGTGTTAGGAAACTCTCACCTGTCTCTCACCTGTGTTGGAAACTCTCACCTATGTTAGAAAACTCTCACCTGTGTTAGAAAACTCTCACCTGTGTTAGAAAACTCTCACCTGTGTTAGAAAACTCTCACCTGTGTTAGAAAACTCTCACCTGTGTTAGAAAACTCTCACCAGTAATAGAAAATCTCACTTGTGTTCTCCCTACCCCTCTCTACTCTTAACTGCCCCTCTTATTTTCTTTCTCTCCCTTTATCTCTTTATCTGTCTTCTCTCTCTCTCTTTCTCTTTATCTCTATCCTCTTCTCTCTCTCTCTCTCTCTCTCTCTCTCTCTCTCTCTCTCTCTCTCTCTCTTCCCCTCTTCTCCTCTCTCTATCTGCCTTCTCTCTCTCTCCTGTCGTCCTGTTCACCTTCCTCTCCCTTCCTCTTCTTTAATCCCTCTCTCCCCCTCTTACATGTCCTAAACACCCGCTTCTCTTTCACCCTTCTCTTCCCCCCCTCCCCTATCTTTACCCTCTCGTGTTTTGGTACCGTGTCCTGGTCCCGTGTCTTGGTACCGTGTCCTAGTACCGTGTCTTGGTACCGTGTCTTGGTACCGTGTCCTCGTCCCATGTATTCCGCCACTACTTCCCTCGGCTGACAGGGGCATTAATCTGACCTCCTGGACTGTTTCCCGGTGCCAGTCTAACCGGAATTGTGACTACCATTGTAACTGTCTCTGGACGATTGATTGACTGACTTGCTAGGATAGACTTACTGACTGACTTGAATGACTGACTGACTGACTGACTGATTGATTGATTGATTGATTGATTGATTTGTCCGCTGAGAGAGCATTTTGACTAAACTGTCGTGACGTAAAAAAATGAAAACAAGCAACTATCAACATGCTTACGTGCTGACATGTCAAACATTAATGCGTCAGCTTAGGGTGTCAGCCACGCGGGGGAAGTGTAGTCCTGACATCATACCAGGACAGTACACCACACCGAATATAAACCACACACACACTGTATACACTTACTGTCACAGCTGATACTAATAAACCCATTACCTGAGGACCTGCCAGGGTAGTGCTTTAACCCACGCCTTCAGCAGTACTTCGGCGGGGTACCATCATCCCCTCAACGTGTACTATCTATGGGTTCCAATTATCGTTATCTCACCTGTCCGCTGTATATCACATATCGTCGTTGTGTAACTCACCTGTACACTGTGTTTGTTTTATCAGTTAACGTTATATGTACAGGGAGTCATGATTTTAACCAAACTTGACATAAATTAGGTTAGGTTTGGTTAGCTTAGCTTAGGTTAGGTTAGGTTAGGTTAGGTTAGGTTAGGTTAGGTTAGGTTGGGTTAGGTTAGGTTAGGTTAGGTTAGGTTAGGTTAGGTTAGTAATGATGGTGTTCACTATTAGACACTATGTATTTACTCTTATTTACGCATTATATCGAAGTTACATAAAAAAAATATTGTTAAGACACAATTGTCCTTAAAACTGCCTAGTTTGTGTATAATCAAATGTAACTACAGGTGACATGTTGTACAGGACACAGCATATTGTATAGGGCACAAGATAATAATAATAATAGTGGATGTCCCTCGAAATCGACGATGGCCGCCGAAGGGTTACCAAGGTGTGAATTTGTTTAAGGTGTAGAAGCTGTCGCCAACACAACAACCACACCCTGAGTTAACGAGCTGCATGACCCAGTGTCAAGGAATAGTCCGAGAAGATCGGACAACTCGCCAACTGCACTGGCTAACCATTACCCGGAACACGATCCGCAAATCGATTAACATCCAGGTCCCCAATACTGCTGCTGGGTAGACAGAGGCAAATGGCGTAAAGAAACATGCTCATAGTTTCACCCTGCCCAGGGATCGAACCTGGTCTTCTCGCTTGCGAGGCGAGCATGCTGACCATTACACCACAGGTCGCCACAGGACACAGGATGTTGTACAGGACACAGCAGATCGAACACTGCACAGGACACAGCAATACAGTCATTCGGGTTATGTGGGAGCGGAAGTTTAAGCGTGTAGGTAGTAGTGGCGTTGCACATGTTGCACAGTACAGAAGGGGGAGGGGCAGGGAGGTCTTGTTGCCCGGTGTGATACTTTCTTGCCCGGGGTCTATTGCCCCCGAGTCTATTGGCCCTTGAGTCTGTTGGCACAAAAACACATACTCAGATACAGTCAAACAAACACATACACACACAAATACAGTCACAACACAAACATACACATACGGTCAAAAACACACACACACACACACACACACACACACACACACACACACACACACACACACACACACGCACACAGCAAAACATTCACAGCTTGGACAAAAACAAAATGACAAAAAAAACAAAAAGAAAAATAAGTTGAAAAATAAAAAGAAAAACAAGAAGAAAGTTGGATTAGGGTACACGACCGAGGGGGTGTGAGGAAGAATGGAGGCAGGTGAGGGAGAGGGGAGGGAGCGAGTGAGGAGAGGAGGAGGCGGAGAGGGAGAGGAGACGAGTGAGGGAGAGGGGGAGGGAGGTGAGGGAGGAGAAGAGGAGGAGAGAGTGAGGGGAGGAGGGGGAGCAGAGTGAGGAGAGAGGGGAGGCAGGTGAGGGAGAGAGGAGGGAGCGAGTGAGGAGAGGGAGAGCAGAGTGAGGGAGAGAGAGGAAGCGAGTGAGGAGAGGGGGAGGAGCGGAGTGAGGGAGAGGAGAGGAGCGAGGTGAGGGAGAGAGGGGAGAGGAGCGAGTGAGGGAGAGAGGGAGGGGAGGCAGGTGAGGGAGGGGGCAGTGGGGGAGAGAGGGGGGCAGGCAGGTGAGGGAGAGGGGAGGGAGCAGTGAGGGGGAGAGGAGGGAGCAGGCAGTGGGGAGAGAGGGGCAGGCAGTGAGGGAGAAGGGGAGGGCAGTGGGGGGAGGGAGGAAGGGGCAGAGCAGGTGAGGGAGAGGGGGGAGGGAGTGAGGGGGGAAGAAGAGAGGAGGGAGAGAGAGGAGGGAAGGGAGAAAGGGGGAGGGGAGCGAGTGAGGGGGAGAGAGGGGGAGAAGCAGTGAGGAGGAGGGGGCAGGAGTGAGGGAGAGGGAGCGAGCAGTGAGGGAGAGAGGGGAGCAGCAGTGAGGGGAGAGGGGGGAGGGGCGAGGTGAGGGAGAGGAGACAGCGAGTGAGGGAGAGAGGGGGGAGCCAGCGAGTGAGGGAGAGAGGAGCCAGGGAGAGAGGGGGAGCCAGGTGGGGGAGAGGGGGAGCCAGCGAGTGAGGAGAGAGGGAGACAGCAGTGAGGGGAGAGGGAGCCAGCGGTGAGGGAGAGAGGGGGAGACAGCAGGTGAGGGAGAGAGGGGGAGACAGCGAGTGAGGGAGAGAGGGGCCAGCGAGTGAGGGAGAGGGGGGAGACAGCAGTGAGGGGGAGGAAAGCGAGTGAGGGGAGAGGGGGGAGCCAGAGGTGAGGAGAGAGGGAGGGGCGAGAGTGAGGGAGAGAGAGAGGGAGGCAATGAGGGAGAGGGGGGAGGGGCGTGGAGGGGAGAGAGGGGAGGAGGCAATGGAGAGAGGGGGAGGGGCGTAAAAGGGAGAG